GTCTCAGGACTGATTATGGGCATCAACCCTCAGGCTCAGTCTGACCCACACATGTCACAACACACTACTTTCATTCTCTCTCTCTTTATATATATATTTTTCTAAAATCATTTCCGAAATCATTAAATTACTATTTTGCCCTTAATCTTTTCTTAAAATTTCATGTATGTCCCTAAATGACTATTTTACCCTTGGACATTTTTAAAAATTCCTGTCATGTCCCGAAAATGACTATTTTGCCCTTGGACATTTTCGAAAATTCCTTTCATGTCCCGAAAATGACTATTTTACCCTTGGACATTTTCAAAAATTACATTTATGTCCCTATGATATAAAATGACTATTTTACCCTTGATCTTTTTAAAAAATCTCCACCATATCCCTTTCTTCTTCTTCGCCCAATAACAGTGTCAAATTTTGCAGATTTTGGCAGATTTCAAATTACTTAGTTTTAGACAACCAAACTAGTCCCAAATCGAAATTAAACATGAATTATATCTAATTTAAGTTGAAAACAGCAATTTTACCATATAATTCATCCTTAATTTCAAGAATTTAATCAATATTTAAAACTTTGCAAAATATGAATAGTAATCACCTCCAATACGCCATTTTCAAAATCCAGATTTCAAATTTCTCAGTTTCAATCACCCAAATTAGTTCTAAATCAAAATTAAACCATAAACATATTCAATTTAAGTTAAAAACAACAGTTTTATTATATAATTCATCCTTAATTTCAAGAATTTCAAAAACTTTCAAACGGTGAACAGTTCATCAGAATCAGAAATTCTTCAAAATCAGACATTCAAATAATTCATATCTCTACTCCTATTCCTTATTCACAGAGTACCTAACAATTCAATTTCATATATTGAATGAATTAAACTTTCCCTTACCTAGTATGGTATTTCTACCGAAGTTTTTCCACTTAATTCAAGCTCTCTCCCGTTTCACCAGATCCTGCACGAGTAGAGTCTCGTTGCTTGAAATTTAGACAATAGAAGAAGAAGAATGAAGAACATGTGATATGGGAGGACGAATTTCCCACAAAAACCATTTCTCCTCCCTTCGAACATATAAAAGAAAAAATTTTAGTGTGCATGAGGAAAACTTCGTTACGAAGTTTTCTTGCACAGTAAAAAACATACGTCACATTTACTATTTATATATATAATTCAACAAGTGAAAATAAATTTGTTTGAGATAATATAATTGTTTTTCTCTCTTTTTTATTTATTTTCTTATTTTTCTCTCTCATTATTTATTTATTTTTATTTGTTCTATGTATTCATTTAGTCTTCTTTTGTTTCTCTTTTTTTCTTTGTTTTGTTTTTTTTTTTAGAAAATATTATAGGATAAAATTGAGATGTTACAAATATTATTGTTATTTATAATTATTAAGGAAAAATTTAATATTTATTTTGAAATAATTTTTTAACAAATATTTTTTAAAAGTTAACTAATTTAACTAATTATCATAACTCAATCTAATTATAATTATATTAAATTATTAAGTAAAAAATACATTTAACTCATAAATATTTTATATTTTTTAATTAGATGAGTAATTATTATTATGATAAAATAATTTTAAATTAATTATTTATGTTATAGTAAATAAATTTATGTATTATCAAAATAAATAAAATTATTTATTGCAATCAGAATTTTAAATAATTAGTTAATATTTTATAGTTTCAATATTGATTTAAAAATATTTGTTTTAATATATTTTAATTAAATTTTAATATAATAGTTTAATTATGAGAAAAAGTCAGAGAGGAAAGAGAAAAATAAAAGATCTACACAAAAAAGAAAAAAAAAATAAGGAGTCAATGATAAAAGAGAAAAAAAATAAAAAGTAAAAATAGGAGAAGAAGGGAAAAAATTACATATAAACCATAAATAGGTCTAAGTAAATAAATTGATAGAGATTTTATTTGAATAATTTTTATTTCAAAATATATTATAAATAGTTTCATAAAGATTCTATTTAAATAATTTTTCTTTCAAAATATATTATTCATAAGATTCATTACGAATACCATTTAGAAAATATGAAATAAATATTTAAATAAATTTAAATTATCTTATATACACATTAATAAAAAATTATATGAAAGAGTATTTATAAATTAATTTTAGTTTTAAAATAAATAATATCAATTTATAAAAGAAATTAATGAAAAATTTGTCTAAAAATATTAATTAAATAATTTAAGTTAAGACCAAACAAAAGAAGTTTTTTTTTCTATTTAATTAGGGCATGTAATCAATTTTATGTTTTGTGGAGCGAATAAATTTAACAGAGTAGATTATTTGGATTAAGAGAAAAAAATTGGAAATTATTAGAAAATAATATCAATTTATAAAAAAAATTAATGAAAAATTTATCTAAAAATATTAATTAAATAATTTAAGTTAAGACCAAACAAAAGAAGTTTTTTTTTTCTATTTAATTAGGGCATGTAATCAATTTTATGTTTTGTGGAGCGAATAAATTTAACAGAGTAGATTATTTGGATTAAGAGAAATTTTTTTTGAAATTATTAGAAAATAAAATATATTTATTTTTTATAATGTAATTTATAGTTTATTATTATTTTAAAATTATTTATTTATTTATATTGTTAATCGATATTGTTCTGTACAGAAATAAAGATATCATTGTTTTATATTCATTAAGATAACATTTTTATGTTAATTTTTATATTTAGAATATTATTTATTTTAAAATTTTAGTTTCTCATGATTTTATTTTTAAAATCATCTTAAAAATAAAAATATATATAAATTATTATTAATCTTAACTTTTAAATTAAATAGACTTTAAAAAATAATATATATATATATATATATATATATATATATATAATATTTTTTAATATAAGAAAAAAATTGATTAGGTATAAAGTTGAGACATGGATAAGAAGGGTACTCACTTGTCACTGGTCTTTAATGTATAACAAGTACTTAACCATCCAAAAACTTCCTTATTTAGAAGCAAGTCAATCGCAAATCTGTCTCTGGATGGTACACACCTTTCATATGCCCTGTCGTCTAAAGGACTATTTTTGTTGCTCATTAAATCATTTAAAGGATTTTTTTTATCTATTTCTTTTAAAATTTTAATTAATTTATGTATTGCAGTAACACTTTCTTACACTACAGTGTAATAACACCTTCCATTACTAAAAGCACCACGTTACATTAAGTTTCCTACGGAATTAACCTAGACATTAAACACAAAAGAGGAGATAACGTGTAATAAAAAAATTATGAAAACGTGCAATTTGTTTTATTATATTTTTGTTTATAGAAATAACAAAACAAATTAATATACTTGTTAGTCTTTGTTTAGATTGATCTGTACACAATTTGGTTTCCATCACTTCAATCCAACCGTATTAATCGTATCTCATGATATCCTGGGAGAGTTTCTTAGTTATGGGGAAAAAAATTCAACGGATTTTATCGATTTTGTAGCAATTTTGTCGGTTAGACCAATTAAATTGATTGGTGCGATCCTATTTTCAAAATAATACCAATTCAAGAGAAAATGTGTGAAAAGGTGATAAAAAATATAAATAAAATAAACTTTTCTCGTAAAAAAAAAAGGAAGTATTTTATATAACCATAATGATTATGTGGCTTTTATAATTAATTATGAGACGTCATAATTGGTTTAATTAGCAATAGACATGATTAATTATAAGTGTATTTTTTTATCTTTCTTAATAATAATAATATATAATTAAAAAATGAATATTAATATATAAAATCATCTTCCTTTCTAATTAAATAATCTCTTCTATTTTATTAATTTTTGTCACTATCTTTGTTTCTTTCCTCTCTACCTATTTAATCTCAAACAAGGGGAGATACTGCACAAATTCACTAAAGACTCCAAACTTTGGACAAATTAAATCTAGGTACTATAATGTTTTCTTCATGTCACATTAAACTCTAAATAAGACTTATATACAGTGTAACAGTATTAAAAAAACCTATGAGAAACAAGAATATTAAATATATTATAAAAGCATATTACATAAATAATATTATTATTATATCGTACGTTTTCCTTATTTTTATAAGAGAAAGACTCGTAACAATATTACATATCTTTTTTCCTATTTTAACTAAGAGTAATTGAATGCTATTATTATTACTTTTAAAACACGTAAAATTATTCTTAAATAATATACATAAGAATAAAACTCTTAATATTCTTAAATAGAAAATTTTGGCATTTATATTAGTGTAGACCAACTTTCATTCCATTATTACTTTTTAGTCCTCAAACAATTTTTTTTTTAATATTCTCGTAAGTTTTATATTATTTATAAATCGATGGTAATTCACATACATCTCATATTTCCATCCACCAAACATATTTTTAGAATAAAATTATTATAAACTAAAATTTTGAATACGTAACATGAGACGGATGTGATAACATGTAATTGATTTTAATAATATATTTTAATCAAATAACTTATTTATAAACGAAGTAATTTTTTAAGCAAATGCATGGGAGAATTTAAGAATTTCCCCTCTCATATAAAAAATAATTAAATATTAGAAAGTAAACAATTTTACATAGACAACAAATTATTTTACTTTTCTTCTTCTTATGTTTATAGAGAAGATATTCCCAAAATATATTTTCATTACAATCCTCTTTCTTTTATTTTTCAGTGTAAAACAAAATTATACAGATATACAAACATTTTCACGTTCAAGGCTTTCCATATAAACACAACCATTTCATCATGTTTCTTCATGTGGCTTTTTCCTTTATGTATAAACGCGACTCTGTATTTATTGACCATCATCCTTTCTGGTATGTTATTTACCTCCTTTTTCTCTTCTCCCTACTTTCCATTAATTCAAGAACATAGCTTGACTCTTTCCTATTATATATCTCTGAGACTGTGTGAGCCATATTCAGCTTAACTCATCAGATACCATCTTTCAGATTTTCTTAGCTCATCATGGAAGATTCACCCTCAGCGTCGTATATCCACCAGGTGTTAACTATATTTTGTTAGATTATTAAAACATTCACCTCATATGTGTGTTTTTCTTCTTTACGGATTCTTCCAATCTACTAGATCTTAGACTAATCATGTTTTCAGTAACATGACTATTGCTTAACCACAAGTCTTCACTCTTAACAGGGATCAAAATCTCATTTGTGTGTCTAAGTATTTGACAAAAATATATGCCTTGTAGTTTTAGTTTCATTAATATTTTCTCTTAACATGTACATATAAAAGGTGCACCGTCTGATAGAAGAGTGTATTCTATTCAACATGAATCAAGAAGAATGCATGGAAGCTCTTTCCAGACATGCAAATATCAAACCGATAATTACCTCCACAGGTGAGTCATCTGATAATCTGTTAATTGCATGATTTTTTCTGCATGAAAATTATCTAAAAACTCTCCTTAGATATTAACATGTTATACATGCCGATCATGAATCTGCACAAAACCTTCGAAAATCGAATGATGCAACATAGTTAATGTTGTTACAAATTGATCCTCTTACTTTGTAACATGTGTACGTGCATGGATATGATGTGGAGCAGTGTGGAAAGAGTTAGAAAAGGAAAACAAAGAGTTCTTTGATGCCTATTCGAGGATCCAAGCAGAGGGAGGTTCAAAGACAGTGTCGAGGCAAAAGATACTCGACATGGTTTCAAAATCCAAAAAATCTTCTTCCAATGGACGAGTTTAGGGTTCATACGCATTACTCAACTTTAAGTGTGGTTGTTTGTGTCATAAGAATCAAATAAGTTTGCATGAAAGCTAGCTGGGCGAAATAGTATATATTGAAGGAAGAAACTGAACAATATCTGCCGCAGAAGATTTTGGTTTGGGATAGCCCTGCTGTTTGAAAGCAACTGCGTCTTTGTTGGTATCACTGATATTTTTGTAATTTTAATTCAATGTTTGTAATAATTCAAAACATTATTTTAAACTTTTTTTAATTACATAAAATTAATATTAAAAAAAACTATCATTTCAAACTTCCTCTTTTCACGTTAAGAAATTGTAAAATATTGATTTATTATATTATTATATTTAAATAATTTATAATTAATTTTATTTTAATAAATATTTTCTTTCAAAAATTTAATTAAATAAAATATATAACTAATTTGATTTGTGAACTCACTTCTATATTATATAATTCGGATAATAATTATATAAGAATGCATTAATTATATTATATAATTTTTTAATTATAGGATAACGATATAATTCACAATAATCTTCCCTTTAATAATTATGCTTTGGAAATCAAACTCGCGATCTTGACTTTGATATCAATTGTTAGATCGAACGGTTATTATCTAATTAGAAACTATAACTATTAGTTAGAAAAAAACTCTTTTTACTTAAAAATAACATAACTCTACGATTTTATTGTAGTCCAATCCACTTAGTCTTTATCAGAGGACAATTAGTCTTTATCGGAGAACAATTAATACTAACTGCAACAAAAAACTTTAACGTGGGACGAATTATAAAAGTTAAAAAAATTAATGTGTAACTTATTAAAAAATAACACTGAAATTTTTGTTGTAAATGTCACACAAATATGAATGGGTGTAGTTTTTTTTTTTTTATCATAACTAAACATCAAATATTTATATGTTAAATCTAAATTTAGACTAATTTAACCTATCATCAAAATTATTAAATAGTAATAATATTATAATTATTATTTAATTTAATTATTTATTTAATTATTGTATTTTTGAATTGTTAAATAAATAAATTATTAAATAATTATTTTATTTTATAAAAAATACTAAAAGATCTAACAAGAAATTTACCACAAATAAAATAAAAAAAATTACCCTAATGGGAAGTGTTGAACTGAGTTTAATAAAAGGAGTATGCAAAATTCCTATTGAAACCCAATTCATAAATTCTTTATTTGGGTAAAAAAAAAATTCCAATTGATTGATGTACTTCATTGTAAATACTGTTACTGATAAGGATTCTTAAATTTTGTTTGTTCAGTTCACATAATATGAAACATCAAAATTTGTACTACTTGTACTCAGAATCAAACAAATCAATATAAATATTATAACCACATAAATTATTTTGATACATAATGAGGATGTATAAATATTTATAATTTATTTTCTTTTTAATATATTATGATTTTCAATTAAAATATTTATTATCCTTTATTTTTACTTTTTTAATTAATTTAAATAACATAGTATTATATTTAACAAATTAAAATAACATATTATATAACAAATATTAATTTAAAACATAAAAAAAATAGTTAGTATTAACTAACATGATTTTTACATATTTTCAGGAATTATAAAACTAAAAAGTTACACTAAAAAACACACTATTTTTATTATAAAATAAAAATGTAGAACATGCGCGAAATGACAAAATGTTCAATCTGATAACTTTTTTTATTCTGCACATTTTTGTCTTAGTGGGACTCACCCTGTCCAATAATATGATGTCTTCTCCACTCTGTGGTCCTCCACAGTACAACAACTGAGTGTGACATGCATACACTTGTCAGAGAATGACTAGCTATCTTTTATTTTATTTTTTTATTACATTGTAATTAGCATTTTATTTCATATTTTCAAAAATTAATAAAATATATTTTTTATATTTCATATTTAATAAAATTAATTTCATATTTCATATTTGAATTTAGTTTTAATTTATTGTCAGGATAAAAAATTTATATTATTCTAGTAGAATCACAGTTACATGTGTTTGTTTATGTGTCTATATTTTTATTTATTTATTAAAATTTAATGTATATATTAATTTTAAAATATAAACATTTATTTTAAAAATTATGAATTGTTGAAAAAAATAAACATGAGACAAAAATTTAAGAAAAAATAATATAAAAAATATGTAAATGATGAAATAAAAAATTATTTTTTTATTAATTTTATTTTTTATTTTATGTTTATAAAAAAAAATTAAAAGAAGAAATAATATATACATGATATTTTATATTATTTTAACTACAAATTATTATAATTTTTATATTGACTACAAATTTATATTTGAGCAAAAAGATTTTTAAAAAAATATATAATTAAAAATAGAAAAAATATAACATATAATTTTTTCTTTCTTTCTCAACGATAAAAAAAGCGATTAAGAAAATAAATTTCTTTATATGTAATAGATACTGATAAATCAAATTACAAATATTTTATATTCATTATGAGATGTGGGTGCATCATGTGATAATTTTTTAGTAGTAATGTGTGTAATGTTCTATATCGGTACATGTAGGGTTGTTTAAATGTAATAGTAGAAGAAAAAAATGAGTAGAAGAAAAAAGTATATTTTTTAGAATTGTTCTTTGTGAAGAGAGTTGATAAAAAATGGAGAGTAGTTTTTCGTATAAATTAAACTAAACATTTATTAAATTAATTTTAATACAAATAATTTTAAACTGATAAACGTAATTAATTTTAATACATTATAATTTGAAGTATTTAATGAAATAAAAATGTGAGTAAATTTTTGCATTAATGCATATTGACAATACGAGAAATTGATTTTAATTATAAAAATAAAAAATTCCAAAGTTTGTCCTAGGCGTGGGACGAAAATCTTTATTCAAACAAAATATTACTTCATTTTTTAAATATTACTCTCAGTTAAGTAGTTTATAAAATAATAAATTATATAATATGTAAAGAATTATTTAAATATTTTAAATCATTATAAGTAGTATATCGATTATTAAATAATTTAAATTAATTTTTAAATGTTACTAAAAATAAAATGGAATAATAATTTATGAACGGAATTTATTATTTATTTTTTATATTTTTTTAATGATTCATTTTGATATTTAGTTTGTATTGTTTGGTAAAATTAAAAGCAATAAAATGTATGAATATATATAAAATAATTTATAAAAAAAGACTGTCAAAACTTACTGGATATATTATATTGTTTAACATAATAATTAATTATAATATTATAATATATTTAATATTTTAAATATTTTTATTTTTAAACAAAATATTAATATTTATAAACTAAAAATGAAGTTTTGCGTCACTGAACCCAAGAATTATGTTCAGTAGTATTATGCGTGGTGTTGTATGATTTAAGAATGAAAATTATTTGGTAAATGTCCTGAATATATATTTAAAGTGAATAATATCTTAAATATAAAAATTAATTTTAATAATATATATTTAAAATGAATAATATTTTAAATATAAAATTTAATTTTAATGATGTTATTATAATAAATATAAAATTTAAAAGTTTTTAATGTTGGATGAAATATTAAGATGAAGAATAAAGTCTTATTTTAATTATACTTTTTAGTTTTCTATTAAAATATTTATATTATAATATACTTATCAGTTTTATATTAATTTTTTAATATAAACGATAATTTATATATATTTTTATTTTTTGATTTATAAAATTGTGATAGATAAGAAATTTTAAAAGGATATTTCAATAATAGATGTAAAATTTGGACACTTTAGTTATTAGATAAAATATAAATTAAGAATAATTAATAAATTCATCACATCCTAAAATTCAAAATAAATAATAATTTAAATATAACGATTCCTTATTCTTAAATCTGTTTTATACAAAATCTTATTTTGATAATAAAACTAACTGGTAAAAAATTCAAGAAGAAGATTAGTGATGTGTGAATCAATAACGAGAAAGATAGAAAGACATACTTTGGACCACAGCATTGATCTTGCAAGAATGTATGGTCATGATTTATCTTATGGATGGATGGAGTTTTCAACGCTTCATTGTCTATATGCATATTTGTTATAGATAAATAATATATTATTAATAAATACATATACAAAATTGAAAGAATATAAAAAAATAAATAATTAAATTTATAAATATTTTAAAAAATATATTTAATAATAGTTAAATTTAAAATTAAAACTATAAATATAAATTACTAAAATTTAAAGAATGATAAATTACTAGAAGCTTCACGACCGGGTCCCAGTTGTCATTGTCCAAATGGTTATAACAGTGAGAAAGACAAAAACTTAAGTATGAGAACTTTTAAAACTTGTCCTAAATTTTCATTTTATTAAAAAATATACCTAAATGTTTAAAATCAGTCCAATATAGTCAAACAAAAGGAAAATGATCTTCACCCTTCATTAATTTAATATTATATCTAATGGTCATAAAAATGATCACGATGGAGCACATGCTTGATGTTCCACTCACCCTACCCTGTGGTTAAGTTGGTCCCAATCGTTGTCAAATATACCCTAAACCCTAAAGTCTAAGTGTTACGACTCAAAAAAAAATTAGTATCAGAGAAGTAACACTCTTTTAAGATATCATTACATACATTTTAATAAAATTATAAAGAAATTATCTTTGTAGGAAGATGTAACTCACACTCTTCTCTTTCCCCTTCATCGTACTTCTGATACACCTAAATCTCTTTATTATTTACATCTACGAAATAGAATAAATCAAAATAAAAATATTTAAAAAATTAAATTAAATATATTTTATATATTCCTATTCTCAAATGATTTTTGAAAATATTCACTATATTAATCTATTTAATTATTTTATTAAAGCATAAGAGCGGTTAATAATACTTGGAAAATAATATAAATTAATATTTTATTATGGGTATGAAATGTTTAAAATCAGATAAAATTAAAAATATTTAAAGAAATTTTTAACCAAAATTATTTAAGAATAAAAATAAATATTTTATTATAAATTTAATATTTTAATAGTTTAAAATTTGTAAAATATCTAAATTATTTATGGATAATGTGAAATCATAAATCTCTATTTTATATTTATTAATATAAATAAAAATTCATCTCAATAGTTTATACTTAAGATATCCATTATTAATATTAAATAGATATAATTTTATATTTAAAATATTTTAGTAGAAGACCTAGGATCACATTATTATTTATATATAATATTATTTTAATTAAGATATTTTTCAATTATTATTATTTTTTTATTTTGATTTAAACAGTGTTTATATATATATATATATATATATATATATATATATATATATATATATATATATTTTCAACATTAATAAATTTTATTCAAAATGATAGTTATCCAAATCTTTATTATGAAAAAATTAAATTAAATTTGTCGGTTCAATCGAACTGATCTAAAAACTATTAGATTTTAATTAAATTAAGATAAAATCGAACAAATTGATTAAATTTTTTTCAATATTATTTTAGTAAAAAAAACTAAGATCAAATTTTTTAATATATTTTTTTATAAATAATATAATATATTTTAAAATTTTTTATCTCATATTAATTATATTACTTTAAATAATAATTATTTTATTATATTTCTATTTTATTCTAACAATTATTCATTTTGTATTTTAATTACTATATTTTATATTTATAATTTTTAATATAACTTATTGTGATTATAATAATAATTTTTATTTATTATTTATTATTTTATAAATGAAGACACTAAAACATTTATTATATATTTATTATATTATAAAAATATTATTTTATTAAATTCCTTGAATCGATTTAACTTTTAAACACCGAACTTTTAATGATTAGTGTAATTTTAAAAATATTGATCCATATGTCCGAACTAATTAATTATTATAATTTTTTATAATAACATATATGAAAATAAAAAATAGAAATAAGTGATATATGATTAAAAATTGTATATACCAGCAAAATAAAATACATCAAAATAAAAATAATTGAAAAATAAAATAAAATTGAATATACAATGAAAATAAGAAATGAGAAAGAAGTGATAAATGAATAAAAATTGTATAAACTTTACACGTTTGGAAGTATTATTATTTCACTTTAATTTTGTTGACACAATATTCTATTTATAATTTTAATATATACTAAGATCCTTTCTCCTTTTTAGACAAATATATTAATTTTCTTTTATCTAGTCTTTATTATTATACAACAAATTACTTTTTATCCTTTTTTATATATATAACATCTAAAAGTATTAATTGTTTCTACAAGTTCAATCATTTTCTAGTATTCCAATTTTATTAATTTTTTACATGAATCTTCCCACACTTTTAGACCATATTATTCCCGGTTGGATAAAACAATGTCTGCAAAATTACTTTAATGCTTAATGATTAAAAGGAAATACCAATTAATATTATTAAAAGCATAATTATCTATGTTATTTTGAATTTTTTAACTAGTGGACTTTTTGGTAAAAACTTATATCTTTTCTGTTTTATAATTAAGTAATTCTTCATTATCTGATAATCTTTCCTGATTAAAAACTTACTTAATACTTACCTGAGTTAATAATGAAATTAGTACATTTTTTTAAATCATTTTTTTCATTAACATTTGTACGTAAGGTGGGTGTAGTACAACTGTAGTACCTTGCCCTACAATATCTTATTTTTCATATTATAAACATGATAAATGTTTATTCTATATCTTATTTTATCATTTTACATAACTTTTTTATTACACTACTAAAAAATTATTTTAAAATTTTCTCAAGATTGAAAAACAAAAATGGTCGCTAAACATCAAATTTTAAAAACTAAAAATAAATTTTAAATTTTATTTCTAAATATAAAAATAAGGACTAAAATTTTATTTTTATTAAATTTGAAGATGGACTTTTTAAAATTTAAGTGATTAAAAAATTATTTATCCAACATTTTTAAAATTAAAATCATAACTTTTTTTTTTTATATTTTGCATATTAAGGAGTTTTTTTAATAATAATTCAATCTTCATAGTGAAGATTTTGACTCTCCCGATCTTAAAAAAATAATAACTCATATATTTAAAATATGTACTTAAGATCTAGAGCTAAATGATCAAAGAAATTGTTCGTAAGTGAATTAGACTAGAAAAAAATATATAATATAAATTAAATTGACATATTTTCTTATCGAATTCGTTTAGTCTTAGGTTTAAATAAACTTAATGAGGTAAATCCATAAACTAAGAGTTAATTAATTTTATTAAATAATAATTATATTTATATACAAAAAAATTATTTTATTCAAACATGTACGTGTAATATAATTTAGTAGTAAATATCATAATTAATTTAAAACTAATTATTTAGCATAATATTGTTGACTAATAATTGCATAATAATACAAGAAGTTGGTAATATGAACAATTACAAGCCTTGAAAGTGAGGTGTATCTAACTATTTCAAAGGCTAAATAAAATTAGTTTATATATAAGATTATATAGAAGCTTTTTTCATATAAATTATCAAAATTCTTATTTTTATCTGTTTTTTATAAGTTAATTTTAATTAATTTATAGATTTTGTTTTTCTTTGTTTTTTTCTGTTATAAATACTTGTAGATAAGTTTAATTTAATTTATGAAAATTTTGGCTCTTTGATTTTCTTATATATGACTCCCATATCCCAATAATTCAAACCTGTCAGAATACAAATGAAAAATTGATACAGAGTAAGTAACAACAATCGCACATGTGACTAACTTTAATGTGTAATTTAAATATATATATTTTTTTCTTAGTTTTTCAAGTTATATTATTTAAGAATTGAATTTCCCTAAACTACAATCATAAAATGCTATCATAATTATAAAGCAAAAAGGAGTAAAGAAGAACTCTTTCTTCTTTTAGTTCACATTAATCCATTAACCATTCTTTAAAAATAAAACTATCATCTAATTAAAAAATAACAATTATAAAAAGTAAAATCTAAGCTGAAATAATAGATAACATAAATTTAGAATAGTGAAAATTAAATGAAAACAATATGGTCATGCAATAACTAACAAGGTATGAGGTAAATAACAAATAGATGAATTAAAGTAACAACATTAAATCAGCGTAAACCTATTTTAAGCATAAAATAATTATGCAATCATAAGTAAATTTAGATGACATAATTTAAAATTTTAAAAATTAATTAAAAGAACAAGACAATGGGATAACTAGCAAACATTAATGTAAGTGCTAAGAAAAAGTAAGCAGTTTAATCATAGATTGAGAGGATTATCCTAAATAAAACTTTTGTGACTGAAAAACTTGTGTGGTCAAACTTGGCCCATGATTTTTGGAGTGGGCTTGGGTCCAAATAACTATACTAAGACCTAATGAATATTTTTGTGAGCTCTAAAGTTTTGTTGATAATATAATTTATAATTATTAACCATTATTATTTTTAAATTCATTATCACATTAATAGTGTTAAAATATTTTTAAAATAACTTTAAAGAAAAAAAAATGAAAATTACATAAATTATCAAAATAAGAATTTATAAATATATTAGTGTTTTCGAATTTAAATTGTAAATTCACAAGTGCAAAACTAGTTAAATATAAATTATTTATTTTATGCAAAAATGAAATGAAAAGTAGAGTATTTGCAAGATATAAAGCATGATCAGTTGGTAAAAAAAAAATTCTGGGATTGATCTCGGAAAATATATTTATATATGCAAGTGTTGTTAAATATTTAAATTAAACAACACAAATTATATTTATTTATTGTTTTGTATTGAAGTGTCTCACTTTCCATGAATGAACACAATCTTAAGTTTATATTTTATAACATTTGATGGATGTCCTATTTACACATTCTAAAAATAAATAAATATATAAATAAAAATTTAAAACCCTAAAATAAAAATAAAAAATTAAAAAGGGTTTAAGGTTATCATCATCTTCAACCTTGGTAGCCATGGACTCTCTCCCTGTAAATCACCACCCTCACATCTCACTCGCTCACTCCCAGCGACAAAGGAGTCTTAATTTCTTCCCTCGCTCTTCATTTCCAACGCCCTTCTCTTCCGTCTCTCCCATCAGAGCCTCATCTTCACCCAAACACAACCCATTTCACAAACCCCAAACCCCCTTATCCCAACTTCTCAAAACCCTATACCCTCTTCTCTCCACTCTCGTCAAACCCACCTCCGTCGCCATAGCCGCCACCGCATTCTTCTTCATGCGCCTCCACCCTCCCTCCCTCGCCGCCGAGGATCCACCTTCACCTTCGCTGCCGTCCACCGCGGCCGAAATTCTCTCCGATGAGAGTGCCGCGACGGAAACTCTCCCCCATGCAAGCACCGCGTCGGAAACTCTCCCCGACGAGAGCGCCGCAGAAGAGCAACCGAGCGACGAGGTCGTCGAGCTTGAGTCCCTCCTGCAGACCAAAATGCGAGCCCGCGAAATAGACGAAGCGATCCTCGTCCTGAACCGTCTAATCGAACTCGAACCGGGGGAACTCGAGTACCCGTTCTTAAAGGCGAACCTGCACATGCGCTTAGGCGAGCATGAACTCGCCGCGAAGGGGTTCGAGGACTTGCTTGAGAGGGATCCGTTCCACGTGGAGACGCATCGATGCCTGTTAATGGTAATTTCGGAGACGAAGGCGTCGACAAGGGAACTTCTGAAGAAGATCGAAGAGACGGTGAAGGTTTGCGAGGAGGAAGAAAGAGATTCCGATGTGAGAGACTTCAAGTTGTTGATCGCGCAGATTAAGGTTATCGATGGGGATTTATCTGATGCGTTGAAGGTGTATGAGGAGCTTGTGAAGGAAGAACCCAAGGATTTTAGACCTTACTTGTGTCAGGGTATTGTGTATACTATGCTGAAAAAGAGTGATGAAGCTGAGAAGCAATTTCAGAAGTATCGCACGCTTGTTCCCGAGAATCATCCTTATAAGCAGTATTTTGAGGACAATTCTAAGATTTTGGAGACGGGACGACTAGGTGAAAAGAGCTTAGGGTAATGTTCTTTGTCTAGAGAATTAAACAATAGAAACCTTTCAATGATCCGGGCATCTATATGAATGGTACTAGTTTACTTGATTAGCTTGGTTGATCAAACTGAGTTTTGGTACATATTCATAGTGAGGTTTAAGAACAGAGTTATTTTATGCTGTGAAGTAGAATTGATGTGTGCCTTAGCCTTATTCCATTTTCCAGGTCATGTTGTAATCATTATTGTGGTGTCACAAATTTTTTCTTCTTTGTGATGCACCTTTTGAGAGGTGTAGGAGCCTGAATTCCTTACATGAACAACAACATTGATATAGGATAATTGCGATAATGTAATATTCTATGCTGGAACACTTTTGGGGAAGAAGAATGTAGGTTTTGAAAATATTTTTTGCCATTGAAATTAAATTCGTGAACCAATCTAGATTGTTAGTGATCTTGTGGAGAATGACACACAAAGAAAAAACTGAAACCCCATAGAATGTGACTAGGATTTACATTGCAAAAATAATTTTTTACACTATTTTTATCTGGTGGTGTTGGAGAAATTTTATTGGACTGCCGTTTAGTACGGTGCTATAATGTGTTTGAATCCAATTATGCTTGTACTTGTTTTGTGTTCTCACGGGGGTATCTGTCTGGACTTTGAATGATTGACATGAACCTATCTATCTAGTGGATTGTTACAGATACTGTAAATTGCTCTGAATCCGGATTGCGTATAAGGATTACACATTAAGAGATTCATTTTGATTTTTCTCTGTTGGAATGCATGTCCTATTTAAGGATATATATTTTAGCCTTTTATTTTATTTTATTAGTTTCTCAAATCTTAATATTAGATATTTTAATGCTGAGGAAGCATAACATAAAAAGTAAGTCTTTAGGCCGAGTCTTTGGTCCAAAAGTGACAGAACATATGTTTTTCTGCCTATCATTTCGTGTGTGTCCTGTTTTGATGTATCTTCTTCTATGTAAGCTTCATAGGGTATTGTCTTCGGTTTAGGACAATTAAAGTGGGGACTAAGATGGCAAACAATTAATACCATTGTCTGGTTTTATTACAATGTGGCCAAGAATCGAGCTATGATATGCTTGTCTGATAAATCATTAGAGGCTGCCAAGTCTTTCCCATGATAATGAGCAATTTTAGAAGGTCATAGCTACCATGCTATGTTTCTGTTTTCAAGCATTTACTCTTTCTTTTTGGCTTTGTTGCTTCTGTAGTATAATATATTATTTATGCTTATACTACTTGGACTTTTGCCATTTTCAATTCTCTCGAGAATCTCTCTAGATTTCAGTATGTTACTTAGGCATGGAAAATTGGCTGGCTATATTTACAAAGCAACTTTCCTAAGATTTTCAAATCAATGTGAAAGTGTGAATATAATTTGTAGGACATGTTCTGCATTGTTTGGGTCCTTTGCGTTGGAGTAATGGATGTAAGATTGCTAGAACATACCTAGAGAAAGTCATTAGGTAGCCTGTGTTGCTTGGTGTTATATAAATGAATGTAACGGCCTACTGGGTGAACTTTGCTTAGGTAATGAATAGAATGGATCTTCGCCATGTTTTTATTTTAAATGCTATTACAAACGGTATGCTACTGGATACATGGTAATTAGATGTTGCTTGCAATCCATGGGGGTGTGTTTAGTCTGTTTAAATCACATATCTGCCACTAAAAATGCTTCTACTTTTGCTTGGTCAGTAACATGGCATTTGAGGAGATCCTAGATGATAAATGAGTTTTTATGGCTAAATGTAGGGTGTAGTGGTAGGTGGATAACAATGATGAACTGATGACAACTTCTGTTAAATTAATCAAGATGTTATTAGTAGTCTAATCATATGCCTGCTTGCTTGATAATTTGTAAAAGAAAGAGTGGCAGAACTGAATCAACAGATGACAACTACCATGGAATCAAGGTTTTTAAAATTAGCACATAATCACATGATTGCATTGCTGATAATTTGTAAAAAGAATGTGCAACACTGTTTGTTTTGGATGCTCTTGTTTAATTTATGTCAAGACTGTTTGTTGGTAACCACCCGAATCTCTCACGTCTTTTCCCAATCCACCTGCAACCAAATATGTCATGCTAAAATATTTGGATACTGGATTTTCTCACCTGCTGGTCCTTTTCTTTCACAATCCTCTTAATTGAGAGTTTTGTAGTAGGCACATTCTTTTGTCTGCTCTGATCTGATCATCCAAGAAAGAAAATAAATAAATAAGAAAATGAGTGAACTTAATTAGAATAGAGAAAAATTGATGAATAAAAATATGGAAAAAAAAAATTATGAAGAGTGATTTGAAAAGGCATAATATTAGCAACTCCGTACAATTTTCCACTTATTTATTGGTTATTCATATGCTACCAAATGCACCATTAGGTTCATAGAAAAGAAAAAGAAATAGCAGATTTGGTGGATGAATCGTTGGACCATGTGGGTTATTAACGTTTTGGGTTTAGATCATTTTTCATGGAGTTAGGCTTTTTGAGCCCAATCTACTGTAAAATCTACATTCTAATTTCAAAATATGCAGATTTGATTTCAAGTGTAATACATGTGAATAAGCATCTGAACCTTATTACAAAATGCCAATGCATTTAGGATGAAGTAGAATCCAAGCAGATGCAAGAAAACCTTTTTAATTGCTTTGGGAAAACAAAATTAGAGAACTTTGAGGAAACAATAACCGATGCTGTTACTCGCATAAATATAAATTAAGTGTTTTTTCTTTCTTAAATGCATACACTCTTACACGCGTTGCATTATATTATGTTTACAATATGCTTTCTATTTAAATTTTAAAAGGTGGAGTAAACTGTGCTTTTAACTTACCATTACTTTGTGTAATAACTTCCTTAACTAATGTCGTAATGATATTTGATAAGAAAGAATAAAAAAGTTTAATAATAAAACATAGTTTTTTTAATACATTTTAAAGGAAGAATATTTTTACCTAACATTTATATTTTTAATCTTTGAGAAACTCATTAACATTTGTCCTTTTATAGTTAATAATTCAGTTTGTCATTGTGCAGTTTGTTAACCAAAATCACATGTTTTGGTTTGAATGAGTTCAAGGATTGGCTTGTCTTTAACCTACCAAACTCACATGGTGGTGTAACTAAAAAATTAATCGTTGGTGTGTTTTTAACACAATATTTCACTCATCCCTATCAAAAGACAATTTTACCGAAATATTATTTCTATCCATCTAAATAACACAAATTTCAATTCTATCTCTTGTCCTCGAACAAAGTTACTAGAAAAGTTACCATTTCTTAATCTCCTTACTTCATATGTTTATTTATTTATTTATTTAAATTAATCATAAATTATTGTAAATCTTTTTAATACACTATTTCATTATTTTTATTTATGTTCTTACTTAGATTAAGAAGACTAATATTCTTACACTAATATATATATATATATATATATATATATATATATATATATATATATATATATAATATTGTAAGTTTTTTTGTTATGAATGCATTGCAGTTATTATAATTTTTGGTACATGTTAAATAAACCATCTAAAATCAATAAAAAAAATCACTTCATAATAAACTTTTACACTAAAAATTATAAAAAACTTCTCTCCACTAGTACTCAGAAAAGGAAGAGTAAGTGTAAAAAACACTTCATTATTACTTAATGCAAAATTTGGTAGAGTGGCACTAAATAAAAAAATGTACATGTTTGGTTTGATTAAGAAGAAAAAAAAAGTGGAGAAATTTCTCTGTTCTTGCTAGATGAGCAGAAGAGTGTAAAAATATATAAACATATTTTTATATTAATTAAAATTATAAAAAAAAACAAAATAGGACAGCGTAACCCACGTAATCAATACGGATTACAAATTCAGAGTGAAAGATTATATATATCTTTAATTATATAATTTTTTTTAATTTTTATTTATTAATTAATATTTTTATTAGATAAATTTTAAAAATTATTATATATATATATATATATATTAAAATTCTTAATTATAATCAATAATTTAAATTTATGTGATTAATATTTACAATTTAAATTATATTATTATAATATATTTATATATTTCACTAATATAACATAAAAAATATTTTTAATTATATATTTTTTTATTTTGATCTTAATATATAAATATTTTTTAAAAATAGATTAATCTTCTCTACCTATTAAGTTGACAAATTAAACATAACTCATTAAAATAGGTAACGAATTACAATTATCAACTAGTCTCACAAATTTAAGATAAATTAGATACACTCGTTACGATACCTAACTCATTCTTTTATTGCTAATTTTATTTTTGTTACATTATTAGTAAATTTATTTAAAAGAATTTGAGACAAAGTATTTATAAATCAGTTTTTAAGTTAAAAACACTTAGGTTTAATAAAAGATTTATTAAATGTAATGAAGAATTAAATTTGATTGAAGTCTAAGATGGAAGTAGGTTTTAGACCCCATGCTTTATACCTAACCTAACCCAGTTTATGAGAATGAAAGAAGTAATTAACCTAACACACTTACCATAGAAGGAAGAATAAGCAACCGCAGTTTATTGGAAGACCCTTCTAATTCGCATTTACGTTGTTGTATGTCTTTGGACTTTTTTTTTTTTGCACAAAACATGATTTCAAAGCATTTTAGGCAACATTCATTGCACATAAGTCATACATATTTATATTTTTGTAATATTATTTTAGATAATAAATAAATAAATTATATTCAGAATTTTTTTTATTATGACAACTTATTCAGAAAAAAACATTTATTTATAGCAATATAAAAAAGTGATTATTTTTTTAACCGTTTTTGTGTTATTTGTAATAAAAAATTTATCTTATATTTTCTCTTTTTTATTCTTTCCATCACTTTTTTTAGTTTCTCTAATGAAATAATTAAAATTAATTAAAAAAATTCCCTCTTTTGCTCCTCAAATAAAATTTTAATCCTTTTCTCAAATATAAATGACTTAAATAAAAATAATTAG